GGGCAGGGAGCAGGAATCGAGCTAGGAAACCTGGGCAGGCGTAGGGATAAAGCATCCAGGAAAACTTGAAGGGCATTTCAGTTTGTGGAAACTAAGATTTGAGAGACAGTTTGGTTTGGGTGGGGTTCTGATGGCCCTGGCCAGCCAGGTAGCCAGGTAGCTACAGCACATGATTGAACTAGGAACTGACTTGAGAATGGAGACCTGGAGCAAGGATGGCCAGTCAGTTTCTTTTCATAAGAATGAAAGAAAAGCCTGGCCGGGCATGGCTCAGCGGTTGAGCTAATTGGGTGACTTGACAAGTATCACACAGCTTTCCAGTTATTATTGCTGCATAAGAAAATTATTATGTTCACTGGATAGCCACATGCAAAAGAATAAAGTTGGAACCTGGCTGTCTTAGTCTGTTTGGGCTCCTGTAGACTGGGTGGCTTAAACTATACACATGTCCTCCTCGGTGTCCTGAAGGCTGGGAAGTCGAAGATCAAGGTGCTGACAGATCCGGTATCTCTTTTTTCCTTTTTGAGACTACCCAGATGTTTAATAAATGTGGTAAAGATGCTTAATCTCATTAGTCCTCAAGTAAATGCAAATGAAAAGCACAGTGACATCATGGTGCACAGCATCAAATTAAAACAAAATTTGCCAATAGGGCTTTTCAGGGAGCACACACACATGTTGAATAGTGATAGTTCCCTGGGGTCGGCAACTTTGGGGTAGCTCCAAGCTTGCTCTTCTTTCCAGTGTCACGACTATAATTTTCAATACTGACATTACCAAGTATTATAATATCTAGAACGGTAAGACTCTTCTACACTGCTGGTAAGCGAGGAAATTGGTACAACTGCTTTCAGCAGTGCCTACCACAGCTGAACACGTAGCTTATGACGAGCGAATTGACTCCTAGATATATAGCCAGCGGAGACATGCGTGTGCACCAAAAAAAATGGATCCGAAGAGTCAGACCCACATTCCTGGTAACAAACTGAAACTTAAAATAAGCACAATATCTCACCAAGAGTAAAGTGGGTAAACTGTATATGTGAATACTATATAGCAATGAAAACATGAACTTGCAGCAAAGTAGGTAAAAATGACAATTACTATGTGAGTTAAGAAAATATCCGAAGTCTCCTTTAAGAAAGTATTAATGCTATTCATGAGTGATCCATGCTCAGGACCTCATGCCCTTTCAAAGTCCCACCTCCTAATACCATCACATTGGGGGTTAAAATTTCAACATATGAATTGGGGGGAGGCACAAACATTTAATCCATAATGCTCACTTCACACCAAATAGGAAGAAAAAAAGTCCAAGGCCTAAATGTAAGAGCAAAGGCTACAAAACTCTTAACAGAAAACAGGGATAAATCTTCATGGCTTTGGATTTAGAAAAAAATTCTTATGTTTGATACGCAAACCACAAGGAACAAAGGACAAAAAAACAGATACACTGAGCATGACCCAAATGAAAAACTGCTGTGTCTCAAAGGCCATCACCAAGAAAAGTGAAAAGACAACCCACAGAATAGTAGTAAATATTTTCAAATCATAGACCTGAGGAGGGTTTTATATCTTGAATATATAAAGAACTTCTACACCTTAACAAAAAAAAGAAAAAAAACACCAATTTTCAAAATAAGGCAAGGACTTTAACAGACATTTCTACAGAGATACACAGGCAGCTAACAAGCACATTCTATTCACAATACTATTTGGTGATAAAAAGAAACAAGCTGTCAAACCATGAAAAGATACCAATATATTTTAAATGAACATTGTTAGGTTCAAAAAGCCAGCCCAGTGGTAGGAGGTGCTGTTACAGAATTGGTCCCCTAATCATGGGACGACAGGATCACCGGCTAGCAAAGCCTAGGTGTCATCTCTTAGTCATCAGATACAATGTGGGCACAGTTACCACAGGGGACAGCCAGACGAGATGGTAGCCACGGGAGCCTGGCCCAAAGGCCTTACGGAGAGAAGCAATAAAACATGGTACTCCTAGGGTCGAAGTGTTTGGGCATCTCGCAAGGGTAGTGCTTGATGTGTCCAATCAAAAGAAAACAAGAACGAATGAACAGCATCCTGCTTTCAACCGACCCATGGAGAGTGACAATCCTTGACTCAGATTCGAACATGAGCTACTCCTCAGACCAAAGAACATTAAACCAATGGCCATTATATGGTGCAGTGCCCCCAACAGATAGAAACATGAGTCTGGGGACCAAAGAGTGACCTGGAAATTACTTGGCAATTTGTATCTGCTGCCCTTGAAGCCTGAGGCCTAGAGGGCGAAAGGCCAAAAATCAGAGTGTGGAGTCAGGAAAGTTTATTGATCCAGAAGGAACCTACCAAGACAATGAGAGCTCTGACGGTGCCTCAAACCCGTCTTGCTCGCTGGGCTAGACTAAGGGATGTTGGGGGTTAAGGGGAACAGATGTGCGGATGTGTTGGTGGGGCAGGTGTTCACTGGAGGACCTTGGAGCTTGGCCATTGAAAGTAAAGGACGTCAACACTGGACCTTCCTGGACAGCAAACCCTTGGCTGCTGAAAGGGTTCCCGTGTTCAGGTTCTGGTTATGTCCTGGTCTTTTTGGTGTCTTGCCAGGGCGGGGAATGGACTTTGGTTCCTGGTGCAGCTGGAAGCCAAAGGTCTCTCCTCTGCACAAGCTTCGGCTGCATGACTCACGGTCCTGGTCAGCTGTCCCCGAAAAGCAGCTCAGCACCCCATCTGACAGGATAAGGCCATTTGAGCTGGCTCCACAGTAACACTATTAGCTTAGAGCAGCACCCTTCTCCTGAGACTTCTCTCTGGACCGGAGGAGCCACTTCACCTAGAAATGCCTGCCTTTGAGGGTAGCACAGAAAATGACTGATGGATGCCCATCATGATCCCCTTGCCTCGAGATGGGTTAAGTCTGCGGTGCCAGTTTCGCTCCAGCACTCCCTGTGGGATCGGCCCGATGCTTACGCTCAACGCACATTGTCGCCTGGCCTTTCCGTGCCTCCTGGGCAGGTTACACCTGCAGGCACTCTTCAGGAACTCACTTGCACTAGTTTCTTTTTTATGATTTTTTTTTTTTTTTTAAATATATCTTTATTGATTTCAGAGAGAGGAAAGGAGCGGGGGAGAGAGAGACAGAAACATCAATGATGAGAGAGTCATTGATCGGCTGCCCAGCCCGCAACCCGGGCATGTGCCCTGACTGGGAATCGAACCCCGATCGCCTGGATCCTAGGTCGACGCTCAACCGCTGAGCCACGCCCAGCCGGGCTATGATTTTTATTTCAGCTTGCATGTTTAATTATGTCTGTACATACATTTTTATCTTGTTTTTAATTCCATGAGGATAGGAATGGGAATCATGACTGCTGTGTGGTAGGGACTAACAGTGCCTGAAACATAGGATGTTTTAAATAAATGCTGAAGAAATTAAGGAAGGGTCTGGAGAAGAGAGAAAGAAGAAGACACAATATAAGTATGAAAGAAATGTAACTTTCTTTATGTTGTTTTAATAATACCATTTAATCACCCCTTCCAGGCCCCATCCTACCATTTTGTTAAGAATCAGTTTTAATCCTTGTAACTAATTCTTTTCAACTCCCACTTTTTCCCCCAAGGTGCTAGAACCAGACATAGTAGAGGCCCGAGTGTGTGTGAGATGGAGGTGGGGGGGTGGGGAGAAGCATCTGGCCATGGGGACAGCTCTCCAGAGAGGTTACTGCTGAGATGTCTAGTGGCCCGGCCCACGTGGCTTCCTCAGATCCCACAGATCTCAGCTTCCTCTGCCGTGCTTCGGGCATGGGAATGTTTGTGGGCTGCTTCTGGCCTCACCTCCCTGGCAGCTTCCTGCGGCTCTTCCCTGCTTCAGGGTGGATGCCTTCCTGTGCGTTTGCCAGGAAACAGTGTACAAGCACTATTTCTTGAATCCCATAGATGCCTCTTTCTCTTTTCCAACCCCCAACCTCAAAGACAGCCTCCTTATATATATATCTTTTAAATCCTTACCTGAGGNATATATATCTTTTAAATCCTTACCCGAGGATATTTTTTCTATTTCTTTTCATAAAGAGTGGAAGGGGGATGGGAGGGGGAGGAGAAAGAGAAACATCTATGTGAGAGAGACACATCGACTGGCTGCCTCCTGCATGCACCCCGACCTGGGCCTGCAACCAAGGTGCATGCCCTTGGCCAGAATCGAACCCCAGACCCTTCAGTCCAAGGTCTCACACTCTAACCACTGAGCCAAACAGGCCAGGGCAACAGTCTCCTTCTAGAACGCAGAAGATCTTTCTCTCATCAGGGCTCTGGCCCAAATGTCACCCTACCTTATCGCCTTCTGCCCGCTCTGGGAATGACGCTCACGAACAAAACTTAGGATGACTCGGGCCATCTCCCGCTTTGCCGCCCCCCTCTGCACGAGGCCAGGGTTATGCGCTTTGATTGGAGCAGAATAGGAAGGGAAATACCAACAGGAAGAAAAAAAACACGTTAAAAAATATGAAAATAGACTGCCAGAGAAGGAAGGGGAGAAACCAGGCAAGAACTGCCCCGGCGCCGCCTTCCTTCTCGAGGCAGCTCAGGTATTCGGGGAAAGCGCTGGCATCGGCCCGCGGGGCCTATCGACCCTGCTCTCCTGCTGCCCCCTCCAAGGGGCCAAGAGGGAGAATCTGAAAAAGGAGAGAGCGTTTCCTTCCACGTGCACAACGCAGGGCCGTGTGTTTGCAAGTTGGAACGTGTTTATTTAGGAAGGCATTATGAAGAGGCCGTGGCAACAGTGTCGCCTAGAGATGCCATGGCAGGGCCGGCAGGGCCTAGAGGACTTCGTTGCAGAAGTCGTAAGACCTGCAGCACCTGAAGTTCACCTGGAACTCGTTCCACTGTATGTGGTCCACATTGGCGCACTTCTTCAGGCAGCCCAGGAAGCTGAACTGGAGCATGCCCTCACCTGCAGAAGGGGGGGACCCCTCAGCAAAGAGGCCCCTGCAGAGAAACAAACCCCTGCCAGAAAAACAGCCTCACGGAGCCTAAGGCTCTGTTATTCAGACGTGAAGAACTGGGAGCTGCTGCAAGTTAGGGGCTTCCCAGGCGAAAGGCAATGCTAGAGGAGTGAGAAAAAAAATGATTGGAGGCGGGGAGAGTCGGATAGCAGCTACCCCGGGGTTGCCAAAGCTGGAGGTTTCCCCTGGGAATCAGCACTGGTTAAAGCAAGAGCTGTAAATGCCAAGGGATCACTCAGAAGAGAGGGTAGGTAAAGAGAGACATGAGGTTCAATCTGAGCCATCAAGGGGCCACTTAAGCCCGTCTCTGTTGCTGCCCGCGGCCCCTCTATTTCCACAGCTGAAAACCACCCACAAGGAATTGCAGGCCGGGACAAAGACACAGAGCCGCCCTCCCCGCCCCATACCCAGCTGTTCTCCGGCCAGTTGCCTCTCCTCTGTTTTCTTCAGGCTTCTCAAAAGACTGGGTCCCTTCATAATCGCCCTCATCTATTTGCATTATGCCCTGTGATGGGCGTAGAGATACCGGCCACTCCAGGGCTGAGGACCCCGCAGTAAAGGCAGGCCCCCTCCCTTTCGCTCTCCCCGACGTGTCCCTGTCTCCTTCCTCCGCCCCTTCTTGCTTCCCCCAACCCACAACTTACTTGCGACAACCGTCCCAACCATGCAAGCCTCGTCCAGGGCTGCAATGCATATCCCCCTGCCTTTGGAACATTGCTCTCCTGGAAACTGCATGTGGCACATCCTGCACTGAATAATATCTATAATTTGGACCAGAGAGTAGAGAAACGGAAGTGAGAGCAGATCTCGCATGCCCTGAGAGGACTCACCTCCCCTTTCAGGCTGGAATTCTGCTCCAAGCCTGGAGGGTTTGGCCAGAAACCCATTAAGCATGGGCACCTGCCTCTATTAACATAGGCTGAGCCAAGAGAGGGACCGGGGCTTATGGTCTCAAGAGTTTTAGTCTGGGGGGCGGGGGGGGCAAAATGGGAGGGGAAAGAAAGGAAAAGAGGAACAAAATGAAGACAGATCATCAGCTCAGGTCCCCTTCATACTCACCAGCAACATGTTCTTTATCAAAAACTATGTAGTTGCGGTTGGCTGTGCTGGCAAAGAGAGAGAAAACATGAAACAAATCTGCCCTTTTGCCTTACCCCGGCTTAAGACCCTTTTAATCCTTGTAACGCACGGGGTTCACTCTGTGCTCTTCACCTGGGGCCACCCTAAGCCATTTCTGTCCCTCCAAAGCCTGAGCACCTATCTCATGGCGCCTCTGTGCCTTCCCCCTCCCCTTAATTCTCTCCAGCTGGACAGGGCCTCTCGGCTTCTAACAGGAGGCAACGCAGGCCAGACGGAGATGGGTAAGTACACTTTTGGTTTTGGGATTTTTCTGTGCTTCATTCACTTCTTTTTAATGGACCCCACATGGCTTTTACCTACCTGTCTGGAGCCTGGCAATGGGGAAGAGCATTGGAAAGTCATTAAGCAGTTGCACTTTGGATTTGGCCAGCGGGTGCCTGGAACGTTTCCCTTTCTACTTGCCCTTTATTGACTCGCCCTAAGCCTTTCAGCTGCTGTTCCTGTTATGTGGTCAATACTTAAAGCCAGCTCTTTCCCCAGCCCCATCCTGCTGGAAGAGTCACCTGGTATTGAAATCCAGGGTCTTTCGACCCCCAATGTCTGCCCCGCCCCTCTCACCTGTCCCCTCCTTCCCCCTCCCGCACCACTGATCCATTTCTACTCACCCACATCATCTCTGTTTGAAAATGACCCGGAGAGTACTGTTGGGGGGAAAAAGATACACCCCTGTAGACCTCATTTGAACAAGCCCCACCTCACAGCTTCTGTGAGCATTCTCTCAATTCCTTATAATGCACCAGTTTTCCCCTGTAAGGGGGGCGCTGCAGCTTTGGTGAGACCCCAGGGACACTGGTGGAAGGCGTGGCATTGGAATGACAGTGTCTGTCGCCACAGGGGCCCCCTAAGAGGGCCTCTGTGTGGGAACCCTGACCCGTTTCAGGATCCTTCCCACTTCCCTCCCGCCGTCAACCCTAGGGGCTCACCTCTAAAGCCGCCCAGCAGCAAGGGGAGCCCCAGCAGCAGGGCCCTGACCATTTTGGAGGCAGAGAGAGGTCAGGGCGGGACGCTGCACATGCCTACTTATGCATCTGCCAGGTCGGCCTTAGGGGCGGGGACACTGTGGGAGTCCTTCAGAGACTCTCCTGCTCCTAGGGAAGCCGGGGGTGCTGTCATTTCTCCTCTTGGCAAATTGCGGGGAGAGGGACTGGCGGGGTAAATCCTGGACCTGACTTATGCCAGTCCTGTCACTCAGGCTGTTTGAGGCCAAGTTCCACGGTCTTCTCATGACACCACACTGCGGGAGAGCACAGGGCGAACCGCTGGGCAGGTGGGGCTCGGTGCCATCCTCCCAAGGTGCCCATTCAAGCACAGGGCACGTGCCTGCAGATGCGCAAAGGCTGGGCCCCCTGGGATGGGGAAGACGGCGAGGTTGGGCTCAGAGGCATTGACAGGACTCTCCGGGTGGTGTAGCCCCCCACTGTCAGTCACCCCGGGGGTAGGAGATGAGAGCTCAGGAAGAAACTGCTTCCCGGCCTTGGAATTCCCAGTGATTGAAACTCAGACTCTCGTTGTTAATCTTTACTCAAGGATATTTTTTTTGCAATGATTTTGAGAGAGAGAGAGAAAGAGAGAGAGAGGCTGATGTGAGAGAGACACATCGATTGGCTGCCTCCCACATGCTCCCCGATAGGGGCCGTGGATCAAACCTGCAACCCAAGCACCTGCCCTCGGCCAGGACTCAGCCCCTTCTGCAGATGGGCCGGCGCTCTAACCGCTGAGCAACACTGGCCAGGGCAACACTTAGACTTTTGTTAGAAGATAGAAGTTGGGGACTATTTCTCCTGGAGGGAGGTAAGCTGGTCCTTCCCACTGGACGTCCGGCCAGGTATTAGTGGGCTTTAGCTCAGCTCCGAGAGTGACTATGCGTTCAGCGGGGGAGGTGGCTGAATGTAAAGGGCCCATGCAGGGACCGAGCCAGTGGGTTCTAAGAGCAGCCATATCCAATACGTTATTCTGAGTTTTCCATTAGCCCTCCTGAGGTGGCACACAGCCCTCTATATTGCTGAGTTTATGGCATATTTTTACATATGTCATAATTGTAAAAATAACCTTACATATGTCAGATTATAGAAATAATCTCTTTGTGTTCAGAGAGACTGTCCCTGACCTGTTCGTTGCAGCAGACTCCCCCCTGTTATTTCCTGCGTGTGTGTAGGTGCGCATGTGGGAGGCAACCAGTGTGTCTCTCTTGATGTGTTTCTCTCATATCGATGTTTCTCTCTCTCTTTCTCCCTTCCGCTCTCTCTGAAAAGCAATGGAAAAAATATCCTCGGGTGAAGGTTTAAAAAAAAAAATTAAAGTCAAGAGGAGGAGGCCTGGAACCATTGTTCCAAGAACAGCCTGGGACCAGCCCATGGGATTAGGGGAACAGAACATCTCCTTCTTGGGCCTTGAGCGGAGATCGTTTCTCACCATTAAGGTCCAGATGGGCAGCAAATGAAAGTTGGAAAGCTTAGTCAGGTGAGGAAGGGAACAAGGAGGACTGACTAGAAAGGAGCACTGGGGCTCTGGGCACCGCTCGGAGGTGGGTGGGGAAGAAGCGGAAGCTAGTACATTTAGAAGACATGGATATGCTCAAGGAAGAAACCAGCTCTCCTAATTGCAAAGACTTAGCATGTGCCAAAATATTGAAAATGCAAGGCTAGAAAGAGAACATAGCCTCCTCTCCATGTCTTAGAAATTTCAGGAAAATGTATGTTCCCACAGAAGTATAAGAAAGTGAGACTCTTGTGACACCTCCACACCCCCCTTCATCCCGGAATAATTCCTCCCCCAAACAGAAGTCGGGGGCACATGTCCTAAGGCACTGCGATGAGTCCCCTGGAGTACCCAGGACTCTCTGGCTTCAGACTTCATGAATGAGCCAAAATTCCAATTACGCAATACAGGGTCATCAACTATAGTCACCATGCCGTGCCTTATATCCTCAGACCTTACTCACCTTATGGCTGAACGTTTGTGCCCTTACACCAGCCTCTTCCTACTTCTCTCACCACCAGTCCCTGGCAACCACTTTTCTGTTCCTTGTTTCAATGAGTGTGACTGTTGTCGTTTTAGATTCTACATAGGTGATAGAGACCATGAAGTATTTGCCTTTCTCTGTCTTATTTTACTTAGCACAATGTCAGGTGATGGGTGTGGTTGTTTTGTTGTTGTTTTTAAATATCTTTATTGATTTCAGAGAGGAAGGGAGGGGGAGAGAGAGACAGAAACATCAATGATGACAGTTGTCATTGACCGGCTGCCTCCTGCACGCCCCCTGCTGGGGATCGAGCCTGCACGCAACCCGGGCATGAGCCCTGACCGGGAATCGAACCGTGATCTCCTGGATCCTAGGTCGATGCTCAACCTCTGAGTCACGCTGGCCGGGCAGGTGATGGGTGTGGGGGAGAGATCCTGTCACAATGTATGTGTATATCAAATTGCCATGATGTATACTTTAAATATTTTACAGTTTTGTCCATTATACCTCTAAATTGTTGACATTTTTAAAAAAAGAAAAGCTGCATAAGCTCTGGTGACAGGCCAAGTTGAAACCTCAGCTCTGTTTCTTAGCATTGTGACCTTGGCAAATCATTTAACCTTTCCGAGCCTCCACTTCAAACCCTGTAAAGTGGGTAGATCAATGCCCCAAAGAGACAACAGTCGAGGGTCAATGTCTCCGAGTTTTCCTCAAAGGCCTCCCTCAGAGCGAACCGAGGAATCAGCCACCCCAGCCACCCTGAGCTGGAAGCAGCGTGATTGCCCCGCTGCTCACACTGAGGGGCCTGTCCGGCCACAGCAGAACTACCACCCGAGTGTCCACGAGAAGGCAGGGCACCGACTTGCAGCCACAGCTGCTCACTGGAGCCACGGAAGGAGGGCAGAATCAGTCGTCCGCTGCTCCCTCGAGCTGTGAAAGCCACTTGACTGACATTTCCAAATCCACGTGTGAGCTATAGAGTCAATCTGAGGACAAATGATAGCTCGCTGCTTAAAAGATTATAATAGCTAAAAGGAGAGGCCAGGGGTGCACCAAAAAGCCCCTGGGCTTCAATGTTGATGCTTTTAGTCTTCCTGGGTGTTAGCATTTTGGCCTTTTGAATTCCTGTCATTCTATAGTACATATTTTTGAGTGAAATTAACCTAGAGACTCTTTTTTTGCCTTAGTCAGAAACTGTCCTTTTTCTCTTTAGTCGCCTCTTCCCTATGCAAATGTCTTGGTCGGGGCCCTGCGGGGGCTCTGGAATGGAGAGAGGAAGCACAACACCCACTGTCTTAGAGGTGGGGGCCTCCCACTACAAGTAAAGGAAATGCACCTTTTATAGCTCAGGGTGCAACTGGCAGAGCAGGAGGCAGGAAGGAAAGTGGGGCTCCATCTCCGCCCCACATCCGTCTAGTGCACATTACTCAGCCCTCCCTGGAGCTTGGTTTCCTGCCACATCCCCCTTTTCCAGCATATATGGACCGGCTCCTGTTCCTCCTGCTTTTAGGAGCCCTTCTGGTTCTGTGCTGGCCTTCCACAGATGGTGAGTCCCGCAGAAGGGAGCCAAAGTGAGCAGGGTGAGGGGACAGGGAGTAATGTCCTAGAAAGTCCTGACAAGGAGGAGCAGAAGCTGCAGAGACAGTGTTGGCTGGGTCCAGACCCCTGAGCCTTTGGCTGCTGCAAATTCCCTTCCCTGCTGTGGAAACTCTTTCCGGGCCCCTGCTGTGCCTGCTGTTCAGTAGCTTCACCAAATGTAACCCCTGAGTGATGGGAGGGGAAGGGCTGATAAAGAATCATTGGGGGGCAAGTTAGAGAGCAAAATACATATGCTCTCAACTAAGACCCAGGTCTTGATAAGTAACTTGGAATAGAGGCCCTCCTCTGCCCTCCCCCCTCTGCCTCCCGAGTCTTCTCTCTCAGACAAGCTTACCTGCCTCTACCAGCCATACAATGCCTATTTCAGGGTCCCCTTCAGAAGCCACAGACACAGGCTGAGCCTGAAAAGAAAGAAGGTAGAGGGCTTCCTGGTAACCCCATGACTCCTAAAACCAGGTTCCTTGAAACAGATCTGGGCTGCGCAGGGAGAGGCCCCAGAAGTGGGATGAGAGAAGCCTGGCAAGCCCAGCGTCCTGGCCTCAATCCCCTCCCCTGCCGTGGCAGCCCTCTTCTCTTGCCCTAACTATTTGGCATCCCTTGGTCTCACCCCATGGTTCTAATGTCCAGATCCTACAAGATTTCCACTCTGCACCTCCTGCGATGAGTTTGTTGGCAAGACCTGCAAAAAGAATTTAGGTTCCTGTCAATCCAGATATCCTGACTTCGCGTGCCAGACCACAGAAGTATACGATCAACATTATACTGGAGGTGGGTGAGGGCAGGAGAGAAAGGAGGGGTGGGAGGTTGCATTTTGTGATTTGGCCTGGCAAAAACAAACACACAAAAAGAGCCTTAGATCTGGAGTCAGAATTCTTCAGTCCCGCCAGCTCTGGCATGAACGCAGCTGATGGTCTCGGGTATCCTTCTCTGAGTTCAGATTTCTCATCTGTGCAATGATTGAGCTTCGATGGATGGCCTCCAAACCCATCCATCTCTGACGTCCAGTGACTGCATCCCTGATAAAGTATAACTGTTACAGCTCCTTAGCTGCAAACGCATGTGGGTGTTGGGGGCGGGAATGGGTCGCCCTGGAAGGAGACTGTCCCTTCTGTGGAAGGGTCTTCGAGTCTCAGGCTCTGCCTGAGGGGACAGGAGGGAAGGGAGGGACTGCCCACTCAGCCACATACCCCATCACATCCCAAGTCTAACTTGGGCGTCTCTGTTATTTTCTTACCCTCTTCAGAATACGTCTACCGATATTCCATCCTGGGCTGCCCCAAAAGGTGTGTGGAATATATCCGCATCACCAACAGGAAGAAACACGTGTTCTCCTGCTGTAACGAAACCTACTGCAACAGCTTGGCAGTAAAGGATTTGCCATTGGATGTCATCCCAGAGGAGATCTTCCAATTCG